TGAAATGTTCCGGGAAAGACACTGCTGTTGTCCTCTGCCGGTTTCATTTGGGCCTAAGTATGCAAAGTGGTTCCTTTGTTTTAATTTTTTAAATTAAAAACAATACCAGCACATATTTATTGAGTTCTGGTGATAGTCTAAGTGCTGAGGGTCAGCCTTCCATAAATGGTAAAGTGAAGAGTTCCGGTCAAGATGGCGGAGTAGAAGCACATTTTTTCAGGTTTTGGTGATTATGAATAGAGCTACTGTAAGCATTCAGGTGTGAGTTTTTGTGGGAATGTAAGTTTTCATTTCAGTGGGATACATACCTAGGAGTATGATTGTTGGGTCATATGGCAAGTTTATGTTTTACTTTATGAGAAATGCCAAACTGTTTTCCACAGTGGCTGTGCTAATTTGCATTATCACCAGTAATGTATGAGAGGAGCATTTGTCTACATCCTTGCTACCACTTAGTAGTGTCACTTTTTAAAATTTTGGCCATTCTAATAAATGCGTAGTTGTATTAAAAATAAGATGACAAAGTGCCTGCCTTCAAGGAGCTTAACATCTAGTGTAGAGAGATAGATAATAAACTATTGGGTTGTCAGAAAAGTCAGGATGCATTTTTGCAACGAAAAACAGAAAAATACATCATTACTTTTCTGACAACCCAATAATTATCCAAGGAAGAATTTCAGGTGATAATATCAAGGAAATAAACATGGACACTTGTAAGGATGAAGAAGTCCATTTTGGTCATCAAGAAACAGTTTTCTAAAAAACACTGACACAGAAAATGGGGGATGGGCCATTTTAGACTGCAGATATTTCAACATGAGCTAGAGAATCATCTAGAACAGGGTCGGCAAACTGCGGCTTGCGAGCCACATGCGGCCCTTTGGGTAGGGCCCAAAGTAAAATTGAAAATGAAAATGAAAATAAAACTATCATAGTTTCATTTATAAAAATTTTAAAATCACCATTATTCACATAGTGGTGATTTCATTTGTTTTATGGCTCTCGAATAATTTTTCAGTTGTTGTGAGGGACAGGATTGGCTCTTCTATCTCAGAAGTTTGCCGACCCCAATCTAGACTATAATCGGTATTGGGCAGTTTCCTGATTGGTGAGAAGCCCTTTGTGCGTTCACTGTGAGGGCTGACCGACTTCAGACAGCACTGTGAGTTGGAATACGGTTGGCGGAAACGCTTGCTCCTCTCTTAGTAGCCCCAAGATTGAATATGGGGGGGCTGGCTTTGGTGTGCCGGGACCCCAGAAGGCTCTAGGAAGCCAAACCTTGAGGAATTTGGAGAATGTTGCTGTTGGAAGTTCCTTGGTGGGGACATGTACACACATTATGTGCTTCTTATAGCCTTTTAATGTCTTTGGAAGAATACATAATATAAGGAACCAGCATCAGTGGTGGGTCCCCTAAGGAAGAGGGGACTGAGTGTTGGGATGAGAGGATGGCTTCCTTTAAGAAATTTTTAAATATTGGGGCCGGCCGAGTGGCTCAGTTGGTTAAGAGCTTGCCCAAGAGTGCGAGCTCTGAGCAACACGGTCGCTGGTTCTATTCCTACATGGGCCAGGGATGCTGTGCCCCGAGCTGAGCTGCTGCTGAGCTGCCAACAGGTGGCAGGATGGCTCAGCTGGTGTAACAACAAGATTGCCTGTTGGATGGTGGCTATGCCCACCTGCAACTAAGACTGAACTTGGCACCTTGAGCTGAGCTGCCGTCCAGGTGGCTCAGGGGATAGAACGCGTGCTCTTAACAACAAGGCTGCCAGTTCGACTCCCGCATGGGATGGTGGCTACGCCCACCCGCAACTAAACACAGCACCTTGAGTGGTGCAACTGGACTTGGAGCTGAGTTTGCTGCACCTTCCACAACTAAGATTGAAGGACAACAACTTGGCTGTTCCCCTTCCCCAATTCCCCAATAAAATCTTTAAAAAAATAATTTTTAAATATTAAAAAACATTATAAAATATAAAATAATATAAAAATATAAATAAAAAAATTTTTAAAGCAGGGCTGGCCAAGTGGCTCAGTTGGTTAAGAGCTCGCTCAAGAGT